TGGGAAATATAAATAAATGCTACTTGTCTCTTGGGGAGGGAGAAACAAGATTTTCACACCTGTCTACATTAAAATATGTATGTCCCCTCTGAATTGATTAATATAGCAGATGTTTTCAGTATTACTTCAGAAGTGTGTTTAAACTCTGTGTGTCTGGGAGGCTTTGCTATTAATTTATGTGTACCTCAGAGTTGAGAATGCTGTTATGTCTGATCATTTCATAAATATAAACCAACAAATTTGCTGTGAGGCTCAGAGCTATGAAACAGGGAAAAGTGCTTCACTTAATGTCATGAGGAAAACCTGTTATCAAAGCTACATTTAGAATGGACATCCATCTCCTGGATGGAATGGAATCCAATCCTGGAATGATCTCAGGTTTCTTCTATACTCTTAAAAATACTTGGCCAATTGCTGCTTCTTATGGACGTGGCTAATTTTGTAACTGAGAACATCTCTTTTTGATGGACTTTTAAATTATTTTAATTTTTTTATTTTCTATTTTTGTTGGTGGGCCTTATTCACTTGGAGTTAAGCTGAGGTCCAAATTTTGGAAAAAAAAAACAAAAAAACAAAAAAAAAAAAACAAAACAGGAGGAATTGCTCATGTGTCATGTTTGCAGGAACTGTTGCCTTTTCATTTTATTTATTGCTCTTCTTTTCACCATGCAGTGTTTGTTGCTTGCTAGCTTGATTTTCAAAGACTTTTAATGCATCAGATCCCCAGCCACAGCAATGGCATTATGGCCTGGAAAGGGTCCTCAGTGATCTCATGTGAAAATGAGCTGGTTCTGAAAGTAGAGCCAGGGATTGGGAACTGAGAGAATCCCTCTTCTTTCTTGAATGTGATTCTTGGAGACTTCAGAATCCACAGATAGGAAAAATGAACCAAACTATGTTGACCCTTCTTTCTGTTGCTTCACTCCCACCCTAATTTGGGAGGGTTAATGGAGTTAAGAAGCAGAGCTGGCTGTGAATTTTAAAAAAAGCAAACATTTATGTGGAGCTGAATTAAGTGCTTCACCTACAGCCAGTGCCCCTGATCTGCCTGTTCCTTTTCTACGGCATGTTAGAACTGTGGCTGTCAGTCTTTATTGCTGAGGGCTGACTATGCTACAGATTCCTGGAAAGTGTTCCAGGCTCTGTGATGCATGAGGCATTCAACAGGTCCCAATATGCTCCAATTCCTGTTGTATTTAATGGAATGAGTAAAACAAAAAAAGAGTAATCTAACAGAAGATTTTTCTAAATTATAATCTAGTAGGAATTTTTTTCAAAACCAGCCAGGTCGGCAGGATTTCAAGATACTAATCTGTATGCAGCAAAATCTCAGTATATAAAGTTTATGTGTTCAGAATTTCTGACTAAGCATTGTTATGTGTATAAATCTTGATACATTTAGACTTCAGGGCAGAAAACGTACCTGTATTTAACTTCTACAGTATTTCTGAGACTTTGTTATCTTAGTTTTGTACAGACACTTCAGATAATATTAATCCCACTTCTCATTATAATTTCAATTTTCATAAGCAGATAACTGCATCACTGCATTGAGTTTATTGATCAGAGGAAAGCACTAAGGACAGTATAATCTGTAACAGAAGGTTGTCAAATTCTTCTGCTGGCAGAAATTCTCATCCCTGCAAACAGCAATTAGTGTGTGATCATCAAATAATGTATAGATAATTTTCTGTAACTCTTGTAGTCCCAGTTTTTCATGGCAATAGTTCTTCAACCAATAAAGAAATGAAAGCTGTAGGAACTAGGAAAAGAGAGGGAAGAAATAAACCCAGATATTTCTGCACTGGATGTATCCATTTCTCTGCACTCAATGGAAGATTATATAATTATATTTTTCCCTGATTTTGAGACAGAGTTTTAAATACTAGTGTGTCTGTCACCTCCAAGTCTTCCCCCCATGTACAACCTGGCAAGATTTTTCTTTTTTATTTTTCAACTGTTTGTCTTTTTGTTACATATTGAAATGTAAAGTATTGTAATGGATTTATGACTGTGACTTATATACATTGACTGGGAGTCCTAAAGTTTCTGTCTTCATTTTTCTTTTTTCTCTTGAACAGTAAATTATGTTATATGAAATATGTACTAATTTAAAAACTCTCAAGAAAAACAGGACGTGGCCTTCTTGCAGCATCTCATGGAGGTGCTTGATTCATTTTTCAGTCATGTCATAGGAGTAATAACAAAACCTACTAGTTAATGCCAAATATCTTTTACATTTACTTGCTGATTTTTTTTTTTTTTCATTTCTGCAAGGAAACAATTTTAACATCCAGAGTGTAATTTGGTTGCCTTGTCCATATTTTTTATTTATTTTCTTTGACTTTATCATCCACAGATCAGACTGCGATACTTTTAGCTACTTGAGGTGCTTCTAGGAGGAAATAAAATCTTAGGAAATAATATTGCTGCTATGCTTCTTTTATTCTCTTAATATCTGATTGTATCAGTATGAACAACACAGAAAATGACTTTTCTGGAAGTATCAGATAATGAGGTATACTCATTGTTGGTTGCAAAATGTGAGCCAATAAATTTAAATAATTGTAAATTGTTCAGAATAGAATTGCAGCAGTGAATGCCAGCTTTTTCAGAAGTGTGACATTTTAAATGTTTCATTTAACAGCAGCAGTGTGCAATTGGTCATCTTCTTTGATTTTTACTAGTGACATTACAATTTTTAAGGTAGGTTAACAAGCTACAGTAAACACAGATACTGCAGTAGGAGCACCAGAGGCCCTGCAATCTGTCTGCTCCCCAAATATTTGCGCCCAGTTTTGCAAATCACCAACAGTAAGTGATACTGTTGAACCGAATCACTATTAACTGCATGTTTCTCATGAAATCCTCATAAAATTAGCTGGTTGTAGATAGGATTAGCATGTGCTTTATAGTTTCTGTCTATGAATTCCTAAGTTAATTAATTTTTTAAGCGCTTCAAATGGACTAGAACTGTACTTGTACAAATCTAGTCCCTAGATATATAAATAATACATGAAGAATAGTTGATGCTGCCTATATTTAGACCAACAGCAAGTGTGGAAATGAAATGCAAATTAGTTTAATTAGAAAGCAGCCTATCAGATCAGAGATGGTTTAAACTAGGTTCAAGATTACTTCTCAGAATCTTATGTTATTTAAGATGTTGTTGTTGTTAAATATTTATAGGCAGTGGAATGCTGAAAATATCCCCCTAAAGCTTATAGCATGCACTTATACTTCCCCACACTAATCACTTCCTTCCAACTGACGGAAGAAATGTACCAAACACAGGATTTTGCAGAGTTTCTTCATAATCAGGACATTCTGAAATGTTATGACTTAGGCCCCTGCCTACAAAAGAGAGTAGAAGAGTTTATTTCCTTTCTTTCAGTTTCTTATGTAGTCCCATGTAAACACAGTTTAGCTTCGAGTACAGGACATCATTATCTTCCAAATACAGATGCTAAAACCCCAAGTTCTTGAAAAGCAAATGTTTTGAGGCAGCTTTTTACACCTTTTAGTCTGGAGTAAAACTAATAGACCAGAGTGTTTTGTAATTAAGGGTCCTTTCTATGTTTTAAATCCCTGCTGGCACTGCAACGCTTTGCTGTTGTCTTTATTCTCGTGATAAGCTCTAGATATGTAAGGACTTGAAGAAATAAAGAAGAATTTGGATGAAATTCCTAAAGAATATGTATGCTTTCCAAGAGCACAGAAAGCATAAAATACCCTATCCACTCATTCCTTCACCTCCTTCACAGTCAATCACAGTACATGATACAGTCAAATGTGGTGAGTGTCTCTAAAGAATGCTGAGGATTTTTTTTAAAAGTATCAAATTAATGAAAACACATTTTACTCCTCAGCCAAAGGAGACGCTGTAAAAATTATAGGTAATAAGAAACATTATTATGACAGAAAGAAAAAGAGAAGGGATTATTTGTAGAATTGCATTCATATCACATGAAAGAGGGGATGTCATGCCATTTCATATATATTTTTTTTTCTCCTGGGATTTCTTTACCACTTCAGTGAAGAGTCTTTTGTTCCTGTTTTTGAAGGAGGAGAAGAAAAATGATGCCTTTGTTCTCTCCTTAAACATTGCACTAATCTTAATACAGAAAGCACTTCTAACTGATGTGATTTAGTCTCAAACATTCAGAACAGAAAAGCTTTTTCCATTGGCATTATTCATTAATTAATGTAGACTTTAAAATGCTCATTGAAAAGTCCTTATGCACTATATAATGAAGAGTAGATGACATACAAAGATATGACATTGCCATTTGAACTGCCCCTTAAAATAATGAAATGTTCAAAAGCTGCAAAATTATAATGTCATCTATAATATTGAATTATGAGAAGTACATTAAAATGTGAAAAATTATATCCCTGTTATCCAAACATGCTTAACCTTACCTTTCTGAGAGTATTGCTTGGTACTGTTAATAATTAAGTATATGCTTGGAAGGTACCTTGTGCATGTTTGTGGCTTGGTCTTGAAGCATAACTTGTGGTTTATTCTTTTAATAATGTAATAGTATAAAGTATTACATATCAGAACTTGGATTAGCTTCAAGGTAAAAAGCTATGAAGAAACAGCCAGTAGATTTGTGCATTTTAGACTAAATCTACTACTGTATAATTAAAAGTCTGATGGAAATGGAAAGGTTAATAATAGTTTTCTGGATATAAAAAATGAGCATGAAGATATTTGAGACTGTGGGACTAAGTGTGATAGGACTTGTTACATCAAGTTGCTTTGTTTACAGGCAACAGCAACTGAATCAAACTGTACATATGTATTTATATGTGAGTGTGTGTGGGATTGTGCTTATGTGACCACAGTGAGATGTAAATGGCTTTTCAATAAATATTATTATAGTAGAGTATATAGTTTTTCCTGTGATGTTATCATACATTTTCTTCTCATTAGGAATAACTAGCTTTCCTTGAAATACATCCCATGAAACAGATGTTCCCTATGGTCTCTTTAGGTTCACCATACAGAGACAAGATCACCATAGCAATTCTTCAGCTGCAAGAGGAAGGCAAACTTCACATGATGAAAGAGAAATGGTGGAGAGGCAATGGCTGCCCAGAGGAGGAAAGTAAAGAGGCCAGTGCTTTGGGAGTTCAAAATATTGGAGGAATATTCATCGTGCTGGCAGCAGGACTGGTGCTTTCTGTATTTGTGGCAGTGGGGGAGTTTTTGTACAAATCAAAAAAAAATGCCCAGTTGGAAAAGGTAAATATTGTCTTTTCTTATTTTTCTTTTGTATTTATAGTCTACTTAAATAATATTTTAAGCATTTGGTAGCAAAATGTAGGTGATGTATATTGATTGTTTATTGTAGAGTACAGTACTTGTATAACAAAGGATCACAGCAAAGAACCCAGAGTTTTATATTTACAGCTTTTAATTTGTCTTCAATGTGTTTAATTGTAGCCAGATTTCAGGACAAGTGACTATTTCTCCTCTTATTCAAGCCTGAAAAAAGACAGCTTTTTACTCCTGGAAGTTCACTGCGGTTAATTTTAAGGATGAAGAAGAAATCCGAACCTGTAATGGGAAACATTAATTTTCTACAGATAATTCTGATTTTCAAAAGCCAAACTGTCTGTAGCTCAAAGAAACAATCTAAAAATGTCTCTATAGAAATGTTCTTTATGAAAGTTTCTCTTTGCTAAGTCGTCCTGGTAGCATCTGGAAAAAGATTATTTCAGCATGATTCCTTTTAGTGGCTTTTCCACTGATATGATGTCCTGTAATTTCAAAGTGACTCAGTTTTCAAAACTCTAGTGTTAGTTTGTTCTGTATTTCAATTTTTACAATCACAATACTGTAATTGTGCCAACACTAGTAATAACTTGTGAAATTCTTAGTGGGAATTATAATTTTTGCATAATAAATAAATAAATCTCACTCTGTATATGTGCCCATGTTTAAACCTAAACTCAAACTATACATTTAATTGCTATGACATATTCTGAATTATGCAAATTGAGATTTTACTAGTTATCTTTTTTTCTTCTCCTTTTGAGGAGCTTGTGACCTATGGCAATTTCTATATTTCTATTTAATAATTTCATTTAATAAATCAGTAGTAAACCCAACAGTTACATTTCTATTGGTATTTTTTCCAGATGCTACTGATAAATTTTTGTAATGGGAATTATTAACAAGAAAATCTACGGTTTATTTCACTTCCTTTGAGGTGAACTTTGGGCAATGTCCCATTACAAATATATTGTTAAAGAAGTTTGCTTTTTTTTTTTTTCTAAAAACACACAACATGTGAGGTCACAAGGTCCTAAACACGTTTTGAACATGGGTACATTTTATTAAATTGTTAAAGGATGATTTAGTTCCTCTTCTCGATGGATTAACAGGCTGATTCCTTTCTGTTGACATACTACCAGAATGTTATGTTTCTGAAATGAATTTGTGAGGAAAAAGATGGTAGTTATTTACGTAACCCATGTAGGTCTCAATAATTTTTATCCACTCTTAACACGGGTAAGGCTTTCATATGGATATCAGTATAATTTGGTTTAGCTTTTATGGATTTTTAACACTCACTTCAAAAATAGGACTGTTTTGATAATCTTGTAACATGACTTCAGTATTTTGCAGGGTGTGAATGCATATCTTATGTGACAGTAACAGATTACTGGAAGCTGTGTCAGGAAGCAAACAAACTTCTGGAAGGGCTTGTTTCTCTAAGCCCTATGATTTTCTGGTTTTGGTTTTCTTGGGTTGTTTGGTTTTTTTTGTTGTTTTTTTTTTTTATTTGTTTCTTTTTCTGTTTGCTAATGATGGCTAGAGATAGCAATCACTAAGGATATCTGACCATTTAACACTATTTGTACCAGAAAGTTCTTATCAGATCATCACATATTGAGACAATTTTAAAAGTTCCAAGTGAATCTGAAGCAGTTGAAAGAGCCAGTTGAAAGAGTCCTCATTGCTGCCAATGTCTCCCCTCCCTCCTCTCCCCTCCCCACTACACCCACTTACCCTGGTATCAGGAAACCAATAGAATTTCAGTGAAACTTTGCTTATGAAGTGAAATTAACCGAAAGACTTTACCAGCATCCCTACCCATGATCTACCCCAGCATCTTCTCATCCACTCTTCTCCCAGCCCACACAGACCTTCAGTGAACTTCTTCTTCTTCCTCTCCATATTAGCAACTTCCTTTTGCTTAGGAGATGGAGGAGCAGCAGTCAAAGGGGAGGTAAGCAGCACTGTCATCCATTTCCAGTCCCTACATCCCTCTGCTGGGATGAGTAAAACATGCAAACAACACCACTTTGGCTACCCCACAGGGAGAGAGGAGCCTTTGCTTTTGGTAGCATTTATACTTTCATCCCTTTAGAATCAGAGTATCATTCTGGAATTTGTATAATGCTTGTCAACATTTGGAGACAGAGAAGATCAAAGATCACATTAACAACCAATGAAACAAAAGGAAATCAGTTAACTTCAGCTGCTGAATATATGCAGTGTCCTGGGATATAAACGGACATATGAATATGTATGTTTGCTTTTTAATGTATTCAAAATAGAAGAAGAGAAGTTGCTCTTCTAGTAGGTCAACAATGCAGATTTAAAGTATATAATCTAGGGTTTTTTTTAGTATTTTCAGTGTCATCCCTTTCCTGGAGTGCACATGTAAACAGAGACATTGGCTGGTGTGAAATCTTGCAAGATGAGCTCAGAAAAGCTTCAGACAAAATGTTTTTTGTTTGCTAAAAAACCTTTTGCATCTTGTAACTAAAGTGGTTCAGAACATCCACACTCCCGGTGTGTTCAAAAATCCAAAGATAACAAGTGACACTGGTTGCAATTTTTTGGGGAAACAGATATCAATAAGCAGACCACCACACACGAATTTGTGCCACCACAGCATTTTCCAGATACAGAGACATTCTTCTTTTAATGTCACCTTTTCAAAGTAAAGATAAGCCTGGATGCTATCACAGTTAGACTGTCAGTCACTGACATTATGGCTGGTTTGTTTGAAAAATGAGTGTCCTGATTTCCTAAGTGTTTTCTACAAGATCCAGAATGGGTCTGATTTTCACTTTTCACATCATCCACTTTTCACAATGGATGTGAAAAGAGGAATATATGGACTCTTTTATGATGTCATTTTTAGCCATTCAAAACTCATTGAGCCATAAGCAGGTCAGAACTAGGTCTGCTTGGAATAAAAGGGTAGTTTTGCTACAGTTGACAATACTTCTGAATTTGCTCTCTACCTCAAACACACATTTGAGCAATGTGATAACCTGGGGTGTATTTTGAGTGAAATAACTCCTCTAGTCCTAGCTAGTACATGGTCTCATTGATATTTTTTTCAGAGGGAGTAGTACTTGGAAAGACAAATCATTGTCCTTCTCTGTGGAAGAATTTTGGAATCCCAGTTGACACATTAGGAAGGAGTAGGAGATGGCAGACTGAAGACTTGTCCTGACTGCATTCCT